TAGAGAGGGGACTACTATAGGGGTTATTCAGGGGGATACTAGGAGTTTAGACAATGGCTCACATGAGTAATATCTTATTTGGGGGGTATCATGGTACCCAATAAAGAGTAAGATTATATCCTCCTTTTGGGTATAGTATTTCATACAAGGGTTATAATCTTACTAGGTTCAACCACCAAAAAACGCTACTCACATGTACTGTAGTCTGAACTCCTTAAAGGGGGCGATATGAGCCACGGTCAATACTCATTTGTAAGGGATTATGTCAGCAGCGGACATGGGAGGCAACCACCATGTAAAGCATTAAAAAGAGACACCAGAAATTTCAGGCGAAAGCGCTGTAAAGTGGTTAAAAAGCGACACCCCGAAATTAACACGATCGCAGGTTAAGTACAAAACCTTGTAAAGCGATAGGAGCATTGAAAAGCCACACCCCCAATTTGGCGTCCATTGCCTGATGTAAGGAGTTTTGACCGTCACTCATATAGAGGAGTATATAGATGAGCATTATAACGGTTATTAAGGGGGATACTAGGAGTGTAGACTACAGCTTACATGTTGTAAACATAAGTATTTGATGATCTTTGTTTTGCTTACAAATTCTGCGAGTTAAGGTTTCAGCTGTGGCGGTCAGCAAGGTTAACAACCGTCGTCACCACCACCCCGCATAATAAACCACAGTTTTCATTTCATTTTGAAATTCTCTTTTCCTTTCCACTGTGGTGTAATATCCATAGATACCCTCTATCCCGCTATATGATCCCTATATGGTAGTTTCCCAAAAACCGGGAGACTCCAATATACGCCCCAAAATTCTATAGTCCTGTCCAAAAAGGTACTCCTTATGTTGGGAAATCCCCGTAAAGACCCTGTATCATCCGTTTGTTGCCCCTGTGTAAGCTGAGGTATCTACCGCCTTCCCAAGGCTATCCACGGAGCAGACTGCTCTGCTCCTTGCCGTTTAGGGTTTGGGGCTTAGGGCAAGGGGTTTAGGGAGAGCGTCAGGGTCGAGCGGGCACTTGGTTTTCATTCGGATGCCTGGCCTCGAGTGGTTTGCATTCAGACTTTATCTTTCCCTCACTCATCCCCTCCCCTCAAGCAAAGTCCCAGGTCACCTGGGACGTTCCTTTGCTGGCCTTGCCAAACCCAGCAGATGGTGGAAAGGCTCCTTGGGTTTTTGGTTTAGGGGTTAGGGTTGGGGTTTGAGGTCAGGGGATTTTCAATGTACTGATGGTAAGTAGGGAAAGAAAGAGAGCAGATTACCTTCTTTACACTACCTTTGTCTCGTTTCCCCATTCTGTCGTAACCGCCAACAAGTTGCAGTGCTGCATGCGCTGGCTGTCATTGTGCACTAGGGTGGGCTAGCGAATTCACATCAGCTGCCGCTAGTAAGTACTGAGGGGCGCATTGGACGGACATGATTTTAACAGATCCTGGCCTTAAACCCTAAACCCCAAGACCTTAAACAGTCTCAAACCCTAAACCCTGAACAGCCTCAAACCCTAAACCCTAAACAGCCTTAAGCCTTAAACCCTGAGCCCTAAACAGCCCTAAACCCTAAACAACCTTAAACCCTAAACAGGCTTAAACCCTAAACCCTTATAAAGCCTTGAGCTGGAGGCTAGGGATGGTGCCCGCAATTTCTATGTACTTGTAGGTGTAAAGTACAAGTTTGTATCAAGTTTAGGGTTTAGGGTGTAGGGTTTAGGGTTTACGGAAGTAGTCCCCTTGGGTAATATGGAGGTCATATTATGGTAGCATATGGGTTATATAGGGTTGTATTATGGTAACATTGGGGTAATATAGAGGTTATCTTGGAAAAAGGGCAGAGAACATGGAAACTATAGGGATAAAAGGGGTTATATAGGGATTATAAGGGGGGGTATATTGTTGGGTAATACAGAGGCTTAGGGTTTAGGGCTTGGGGTTTAGGACAAGGGGCCATACGGGGTGCCTTTTTGGTTTTGGGGAGGAAGGGTAATGCAAAATCTGAATAGTTGCCAACAGCAATTACGCGCAGAATCCTGTATGAAAGTCGAATTGAAACCTGCAAACCTAATCTGAGTATTCAGGGCCCTGCAATCATTCTTGATACGTGCACCTATCGAAACCAAGTGCCCATTTCATTTCCAATCCATTTTTCATTCGGTTCATTTTTCGCAATATTCATCCTTTTCGCCCTAAACCTTAAACCCTAAACTAAAGTTTTTTAAAGGGACACTATCGGGAACCCCAAGATTGTAGTAGGAGTATGCTCGGAATAGACCTACCAGGGTCCTTATATTCCTAGTATATACCCTAAACCCTAAACATATTCCTACTACAGTCTTGGGGTTCCCTGTTGAGGTTTCCCTGCAGTCTTTGTATATCCCCTGAACCCTCTACCCCAAACCTTAAACCCAAACATAGCATGCCTGGAAGGTTTTGGGTTTCCTCATGGAGCTTCGAACTGACCCAGCCAAGAACTGCACAGGAGCAGATCAAGAGAAAGGTGGATTGGAGACATTAGGGATAAAGAGTAGTAAAAAAATGGTTTTCAGGGTTTGGGGTGTAAGGATTTTAAGATTTTGGGTTTAGGTAGTAGATAAGCGAATATTTAGAGAAACAAACTCATGATAATTTGTAGCACGATCGTCGTGATTCTGTTTCTCCTTCTTCTTGAGCCCTAACTAACCCCTCAACCCTGAGTCTTACACCCCAAACCCTAAGTCTAAACCCAAACCTAAACCTTATGCCCGTCCCAAACAAACACAATTAAACAACGACAAAAAAAGAAGTAAACCCATTACCTACAAGGGGGCATGATGCGGGCCACTTCGATGTCGGGATCAGGTGACTATCAACTGAGATTATTCTCTGGCGTCTAGGGGCTATAAGTATACTTACTAAGGCCCCCAGACCTTCCAAGTAGGGCTTCCATCAAGAATCTCACACTTCGCGGTGCACATTACCTAGGGTACCTCAAAGCATTGGATAAACCCTAAACCCTAATCAGCTGAGGCCTCCCAAAATAGTTGGATGCCACATTATTCTTACTTACTGTGCTCGCCTCTTATCGTTAGAACTAACTTTGCTTCTGCCATGATGATCACGCTGACAGCATGTCATGTGAGCACTAGATTTTGGCAGGACTGCCGACAGGTGACAGCTTGAACGATTCCTGCCAGAGATTTTGTGAATGTAAATCAGAACAAAGGGTTTGCTCAGAACTGTTGACTTGTTTTGTGGTGTGCTTGGGACTTGGGACTGAAGCTATGTACTGGGGATTTTGTTGTTCTTCCGAAAATAGTGTAAAATTAAACTGAAGCAGATCGCTTCCTGAATGCGAATCTTTGTTTGAGGACCATTTGTTGAAATGCTGTTCATATGCTTCCGCAGTAGGAGCAATGGTGGTAGAGACGGTTGTGATTGGGCCTTGTTCTTGTGATTTTTACTGCACTAGGATGTAGGGTTTCGGTTTTCGGGCAGGCGTGTGAAAGCCTGACCATCCAGACCTTAAACCTGCAAACTCAACCCTAAGCCCTATAATCCCCTATATAATCCCAGTTTCCATTTCATTTTCCATTTTCTTTTCCATTTGATTCTCCATTATCCCTAATAACCCTAAACCCTAATTTTGGGAAACCCCCAATCCTGAAAGCTCATCCACTTTCCCAAGCTTTCCAGGGTTCAGGGTTTAGGGTTTAGGGTTCCGGGGCCTCTTCTGCAACCCACAACCCTTATAGTAAATTCCTGACAAGAGTCCTATGGTAGGTCGTATTGTCCTCAGTTGGTTGCAGTAACCCAGTTCGGATTGTCACGTGAAGCCTCAAAACTAGATGAAGCATTAAGCAATCTCGCTTTCCATTTCATGTTCGATTTTCTTTTCCATTTGATTCTCCATTACTTGGGGCAATATGCCAGTGACCCTAAACCCTGAATCCCAAACCCCCCAATTCCTACAGTAGTTTCCATCTGACTGTCGATTCCCGTATATACCCCTACATCATCCGTTTATTAAACCTTACAAGGAAGACCTTACGCCCTAAACTCAAACTCCAAACCCTAAATCCCAAACCCAACCTTAAACTCCAAACCCTTAGCCCTAAAAGCAAAACCCTAAACCCTAAATTCTCAGGAAGACCGGACGGTCGAGGAGGCCCTGGCAGAAAAAAAGCCGAAGCCGCTTCGCCGGGGTCATGTCTGGCACGCTTTCGATGCAGCTTGGCGTTAGGGTTCTAGAGGTTTTGGGGTTGGGGGTTGAGGGTGTAGGGTTCAGGGTTCGGGGTTTGGGGTTTAGGGTGTGGGGTTCGGGGTTTAGGGTTTGGGGTTTTGGGTTAGGCTTAGTCGAAGGTTTTAACCATGGGCCCCGCCCTTAATACGGCTTGCAGGGTTTTTATGTGTATAATGGGCAGATAAGGATCCCAGTGCAAAGGGCCCACAGCTCCAGTTTTAGGTTCAGATGAGGGTTTCGGGTTTGGGGTTTGGGGCTTAGGGTTTAGGGTTGAGTGTTTATGGTTGTAGGTGAGGGTTTAGTACAGTAAAGGGTTTCAGTCCTAAGCACAATCAGTTCTAGCAGCCTTGTCTATTGTCGGTCGCACACGGTCCTTGACAAGAGGAAGGTACAGATACAATCGCCCTAGATGTCCATTAGCCCTACAGAACTGCAGGAGAAGTCTAGATTGACTTTTTTTCAAAATTGGGGTCCTGCTTCATACTCCCAGATGTTCACGACCTTTGACTCTCGGACCCGAAGAAAGAGCCCACGCTGCGAAGGCTCCAGCAAATGCCTTCAGTATTACGCTGCAAACCTGTATATTTCCCAGATATACTCCCTAAACCCTAAACCCTATAAACCCTAAGCCCTAAACCCTATAAACCCTAAACCCTAAACCCTAATAGAATGTGGCCAGCACGGACTCTGTATCAAAATTCTGGACTCCAGGAGTCGCGCTTGGCACGAAAGACCCTGCCCATGCACTTGTCCACCTACCATCCCCTCAACTCGCCCTGCCGGAGCAACTCGATTGCAAGGGTTTAGGGTTTAGGGCTTTGGGGCTCACAAGAGCTGTAGTCTACCACACTTTAAAGGGGGTTGGATAGTGGATTATCTTGGGGGAGTATTACAGGGCTTATTAAGGGGGATACTGGGAGGATTTGGTCGTTCTAGGGGCTGGGAAACAGGAGTTTCCATTTTCTTTTCCATTATCCCTATACAGCGTGTATAGTCCCCATATAACACCCCTGCATGAGTGGTTGTCAAAACTCGAGTCCTTTTTTGGGTACCCTAAATACTTGGTGCCGTATTATAATAGGGATCCAAAATGGGACCATAATTTTGACAACCACCCACTTAAATGTAGGTTTGCAATTGCAACCCCACGTTTTCCACCTCACGAAGGGGGAAGGCATAGGCAAAAACATCCTTGGCAGTTTGTCATTTACCTACAATCCATCCGAAACTTGGAAGTTATAAACGCAAAAGCCGCAAATCCTCAGCTCTGGCGCCTTCACGGTAATTTTTGGGGTTTAGGATTTAGGGGTTTAGGATTTAGAGTTTAGGGGTTTGGGGTTTGGGGGTTTAGGATTTAGGGTTTAGGGGTTTAGGATTTAGGAGTTTAGGGTTTAGGGTTTAGGGTTCAATTTGGAGAACCACCCATTTACTCTATAGACCCCAAGAGGAATCTGGAGCAATGGGGTTGGTGCGAGTCAAGGCAGATCGTCTTGCTTAACTTGAGAAAGTCTCAGTTCTTTGTAATGATATCAGTGGTGTCGAAGACTTTCTGTGGGACCATTCTTCTGCAACGGCATCCATGATCCACTAATGACCTCGGTTCAGGGAAGGTTGCTATCATCGTTTTTGTGTCCGCATTTCTATTGGGTTGATGTCTGTGAGAAAGTAAGCTTGGCTTGGGACACCTGTGTCTAGGTGAATCTGTGGTCAGTGCCTTCCTTCTCCAGAATGCCACGCAGATCGCCGCTTGGCACTGGCAGACCTGAACAGGACGTTTGGTGAATTCTGTTTCAGAAGCCTGCACTGCCGGTTGAGGTTTTCGCTGCAGTGTGGCCATGCTGGGTTGTCTGCTTTTGAAGCCTTTTGCTTTCCAGCACGAGTTCCCTCGCATAAATTCGCGTTCCGAACTTGAGCCATGAAGTCCTTCCGTGCAGTTGGCGTTGCAGCCCTGATGGCAATCTTGGCCCTCTTCCTCCAGGGCTGCAGTGAGGAATCTGCTGATGTCGCCGCAGCGATTACAACTACCATGGAGGACAGCAATGCAACGACCACCATGGAGATGGAGGACAGCAATGCGACGACCACCATGGCCGCCACTACCACGACCACCACCACGACCATGGACGACAACACGACGAACAGCAGCCGCTTGCTGCTGTAGATAGCGGTGGCATTGACTTCGTCGACGATGCGGTGGTGCCAAGCCAGATGTTGTGTCTGGATGCATGTGAGAGCGCTGTGCTAGTATGCCACTACGATCAATACGACCTGTACAGATGAACAAGTGCAGATGAGGGTCTGATCTTGTAGCCCCCTCACATGCCCATTCCTTGAAAATAAAAGACACGCGACTGGAACAGGCAACGTCAAAATAGGCAGGTGGTTTGAGTGAGTGAAGGTCTCGAGTTGTGCAAGCACGTTGTGCAAACTTGCTGCTTGGTGCTAGCATGTTGTTTATTCGAAGCCTTTTGCTTGCCAGTTCAGGTTGCGCATAAAACTAGCGTTCCGAACTTGAGCCATGAAGTCCTTCCGTGCAGTTGGCATCGCAGCCCTGATGGCAATCTTGGCCCTCTTCCTCCAGGGCTGCAGTGAGGAAGCTACTGTCGAACCTACTTCAAATGCTACAACTGCTACAACCACCATGGAGGACAGCAACGTGACGACCACCATGGCCGCCACCACCACGACCACGACCATGGACGACAACACGACAAACAGCAGCCGCTTGCTGCTGTAGATGTTTGTGGCATGAGCTCCATGGAAGACCATGGGGTCGCGCGAATCCAGATGTTATGTCTGGAAGTAGGAGTAAGCACCACGAACACTGCAGACTGCAGATTGTACAGTGCAGTGTTATGCGAAGAAGTAGACAAGGGTTTGCTTCTGCATGGCCATGTCACCTGTCCGGTCAGCTTGAAACTTCGAAAGCGTCGGACTCGAACAGGCTGCTATAAAAAGGCCTGGTGTTTGAGTGGGTGAAGTTTCAGTGCCTTGGGGAAACTTGCTGCTTGGTGCTAGCGTGTTGTTTATTCGAAGCCTTTTGCCAGTTCAGGTTGCGCATAAAACTAGCGTTCCGAACTTGAGTCATGAAGTCCTTCCGTGCAGTTGGCGTTGCTGCCCTGATGGCAATCTTGGCCCTCTTCCTCCAGGGCTGCAGTGAGGAATCTGCTGATGTCGCCGCAGCGGTTACAACTACCATGGAGGACAGCAATGCAACGACCACCATGGAGATGGAGGACAGCAATGCGACGACCACCATGGCCGCCACCACCACGACCACCACCACGACCATGGACGACAACACGACAAACAGCAGCCGCTTGCTGCTGTAGATGTTTGTGGCATGAGTTCCATGGAAGACCATGGGGTCTCGCGAATCCAGATGTTATGTCTGGAAGTAGGAGTAAGCACCACGAACACTAGAAATTGTACAGTGCAGTGTTATGCGAAGAAGCAGACAAGGGTTTGCTTCTGCATGGCCACGCCGCGTGTTCGAAGTACCGGACTTGCGGCTAAAGCTTCAAAGTGAAAAACATGTGGACATTTCCGATAGCCAACTGGGAGTTTCCAGAAATTGAGGACTGCTTATGAACACACGGAGTACTATAGTCGTCATGAATGGGACCCGTTCAAAAGGGACCCGCATTTTTGGAATCCCCAGCCCGACACCCTCTTACACGTATATCCGTGGATATATATATATATAGATATATCCTTGTATCTGCTTCTATATCTGTGTATACATACATACAGACATACACACGCACCTGTATATCCCATATACCCCGATATTTCCCTCATGTATCTTCCTCCATTATTTCTCCCAGACACCCCTTCATTGTTGTTTTCGCAAGACGCCATAAACCCTCAACCTAAACCAAGCTAAGGTCACATGCGGCCACTTCCCATCCATGTCAGAGCCAGACCAGGCTGACACTTATGTATAGGGATACATATATGCCCTAAACCCTAAACCCTAAACCCTATACATTTTCCGGCTTCTATATGCATATTTACTTCTTGGGACTTAGCTTGGACCAGAGACGCTTAACCCTTTGGGATTCCCTTATTATACTTCTGTTATAGCTACCTAAGGGTTAGTAGTGTTGTGGGGTGTATTGAGATAGAAGAGGTTTCGGAAGGATGTGGGGGATTTAGGGCTTCAGGCTTTGAGGTCAGGCTACAATCGATGTTTACAAGTTTAGGCTTATAGTCCCCCTTAAGTAGATAGACTATGGCTTTGGGTGTATTGTAGTAAGACCCCCCATATGTCCCATCTTCTATCTACTTAAGGGGGACTATGACAAATTTCGGGTGCAGGTGTGCAATGATCCGGGGTTTGCAGGTTTCAACCCTGGGCCTTCAACTCTAAATCTTGGGTACTGCCCCCCCTCAGTAACAGTTGGATAATAAGTATAGTATGGTTATATAGCCCTTCATAGGACCCCTCATATAAACTGTTACTGGGTGGGGGCAGTACCCAATCTAAATCCTAACCCCTAACTAGCTCGGAGACCTGCTAGGAATGCAAACTTACATGGTTTCGTTAGGGATTTGCAGCACTGGGAAGGCATGCTTTGGATTTCGGGGCGTTTTAGGGAAATTTGGGGAGGATATGGGAATGATTGTGCAGTCTGTGTGGATGACATAGGGAATGTGCTGGGATTGTGGCATCTTATGATTTTTAACAGGCGTCGATTAGGGAGGATTGGATCGTGGAGGATCTTGCGATGATTCTTTCTTTTTCCAGGCCTTAAACTATAAAACCTGAATCTTAAGCCCTGATCCTTAAGCCCTAAACCCTAAACCCTAAACCCTAGACCCTAAACCGTAAACCCTAGCCCCTAAGCCCTATGTCCAGGATCTGATCCTTTCAGAGCTTAGGTTGTAGTTTTACGGTATCGCAGATTAATCCCACCTGAGAGGAGTCTGCGATAAGGGAAGCTCTACCAGTCTGAGACTAGCACTAACATTTCATGAATATTGTAATATTGTTATTATTTGAATATTTGGGGTTTAGGGTTTAGGGTTCAATTCGAATATTTGGGGTCTAGGATTTTTACATTATTCTAATATTACTATTAGTACTAGTCTGGCATGATTCTGAATGACAGTGGTGGCGGGCTCAAGACCTCGTAGACATGAGACCCACTTGTTTGATTAATGTAGGGGCCTAAATGGTTACCTGTATGGGACGTATAGGGCTTAGGGATATTACCCTAATACTGGAGAACGAAATGGAAAAGAACATCGAAGATGACATGGAGGCTGTGGATATGTAAGGTTATATCGGGGTTCATAGGTATACCTGCCAGTGTCATGGTCCCAGAGTTGTTGTATGAGTGCGGTATAGGGAATTTCATATAGACCGCAACATGATGTTGGTTACTTTTGTCAGAGTGTTCCCAAACACAAGCATCAACACTCTGGCAAGCCAGCGAGGCACACCATTGAAGTCTGCAAGCTCTAACAAAAACCCTACACCCTAAACCCTAAGCCCTAAACCCTAAGCCCACCAGTGGTGGATTGGCAGGCGTAAAAGTCCGCTGGCTTCCAAAAAAAACCCTAAGCCCTAGTGTTGAAAAGGCTACCCAGACGGATGATATTTGAGAGTCAGGATAGCAGAGACCAGTGCTCAGGCAGGCGTAACAAGTCCGATTGTTTTAAGCCCTAAACCCTAAAAAACCTAAACTTTTCCATTATCCCTATATAGCCTTTATATTATACCCTTATATCCCCTAAGCTCAAACCATGGCTGTACAAATTCGCAATGATGCCAAGCTTGACGCGACTTTCTCAGATCTTGAGGGGTGTGGAAGAGTGAAATCCCGGAATATTTCGTAGGGTTTAGGGTTTCGAGTTTAGGGTGTAGGGTTTAGGGTCTTTTTGAGCTGCCTTGGGGATATTGATCTTCAAGCTCTACTCTCTCTCCCCATGTTTCCTCAGGCGCCCCTAAGTCCCCAACCAAAACCATAATAAGATCCCCGTATACCCCACATACTATACCCTATGTAACCCATTCTAGTAGTTTCCATTCTCGATTCCATTATCCACATAAAATCCAATATAACCCTAATATTACACCCTCCATTTTCTTTTCCATTTGATTGTCCATTATAGGGGGGTAATACTATAACCCCAATATGACCCCAATATACCCCTAATATTACCCCAATGAAGCATCAGTGTCGAGGTGGTGTGGATCAGCAGTGCTACAGGCTGCGCTTGGCGTCACAGTTGGGAGGTATGCCTCAGGTGGACCACCCATCCCATCCTGCAATAGTGGCATAATAGTAAGAAAAGAGGACCCTCGTATAATCACCGTTATCCCTTATAGTCCTTATAGTCACTATTACTTGGTGGGGGGGGTCCACAAGAGGCATGCCTGTTTGTTCGTCTGGCAGCAGCATGGGATCCTTTTTGTAAACTCCCCTTGAACCGGGGCTCGTACTTTCACACGAGGGCCCCGAAAAAACGTTTGGTGATGTTCATCTTCAGGCTCGGCCGGGCTGACTTTAAAGAGGTGGTTCCAGCTAAATTTAGGTTGGGGGGACCTATAGGGGACTCTATAGGGTTTTGCGGGGGACCTATTGAGGGATCTACCACAAATCTAGTCCAGGGATTATATACAAACATGCCGCAACATGTTGCAGCAATCTTTCTTATGAAGATGCCTACCCATCACAAGGACAGCCATGGGCGAAAGTAAGGTATGATCAAGACGTCTGACACCTTCTTTCTGCTTGTGCACACGATATTTGAGGACTCCAGCCACCCAATTCCTGACTCAGGCACCAAGAAATCTATGAATGAGTGCACCTGGATGGTTTAGGGTCTAGGGTTTCATGATTCGCTGGAGCTGGGACTTAAAACCTCAGCACCATTGAGCCTCTCTAAACATGTCGAGAGCAGACAAGCTGCAAGCAAGCCTTTGCAGCTAAACTGTGTGCATGCAATGAATACCTGCTCCTATAGCACCTGGCCCTAAACTCTAAACCGCTAACCCCTACTTGGAGGGTGAGGGGCACTTAGTAAGCATGCTTTTGAACCCCCCAGGCTGCATAATGTAATCCCACTTATCCTCGTTGTTAAGCTACTTACCAAGTCCCCTTGGCCCTAAGCCCTAACACCCTATCCTTACAAAGTCCGCTGATTGCTAATATACCCAAACTTTGTATATAGGAGGTATACAGGGTGTAGGGTGTAGGGATATCACCCTACAATGGAACCAAACTGGAGAGAACATGAACAGTTAAATTCTATAGGTGTTATACGGGATCCTCCTCCGTGTTGCAAGATGTCAGCTCCGACAGCAGTTCGAACACCCTAAAACCTGGAGCCTGAATCCTGAAGGTTAAACCTCGAACCCCAAAACCTAAACCCCAAGTCCTAAACTCTTAGCCCTAAACCCTGAGCCCTTAACTTTGAGCCCTCAAACCCTAATGCCCAATCCTTTAAGTGGTAGTTTCCCTACATAGGGGAACCCCTTATAGACCCTAAAAAGCTTGAATGCTTGTTATGGGGACCCCCCCCCCCGCCCCCCTCCCGCCCTCCCCACCCCCCAAAAAAAAGTAACCCTAATTTTTGTAAGCCCTACGAATCCTATCTGCCCCTATATACCCCCATATAACCCCTATAACTCCTCTATAAAGGTACCCCTAAACTTTAAAGCCTAAACCGAGGAACTTAATTCTGGGTAACCCTCAAGTCTCCCCTAAACCCTAAACCCTAACCCTAAACCCTAAACTCTTGCCAGGGGAGCGGCTGCGGTCCGCTGCCCTACCTGGCTGGGCCAGCGTCTGCCGTGAGGCTCCAGGTGCGAGCCCCCCTTTAGGGTTTAGGGTTTAAGGTTTTATACTAGGGTTTACGGTTTAGGGGTTTAGGGTTTAGGGTTTAGAGTTGAGGCTTTAGGGCTTGGGGTTTAGGGCTTAGGGTTTAAGGTTTAGGGTTTTGGGTCTAGGGTCTAGGCTGAGATGATGGGGCGGAATATAAAGGGGGTTCTGTAAGGATGTATATAGGATATGCGGGGATACATAGGGACATATGAGCTATAGTCTAAACTCCTTAAAGGGGGTTATATAGGGGATTATATAGGGGAGTATGATAGGGGCCATTAAAGGGGATACTAGGAGTTTAGACTATGGCACATATGGTGGTGTCTGGGGATGTATAGAGTTTCTTTAGCCGAAGATGCGCGACATGTCGGAAACCACCGGGCCAGCTGGGATAAATGTCTCAAAAGACTTCCTGCAGAAGAATTCCGTATCAATATGCTATCCACAATAACTCCTACAGAAGACGGGAATAAGTTCGTGATGAACAGCCCGAAGAGCAGAACACCACCTCCCGCCTAATGCTTAATTTGGTTCTTTAAATATACATTTCTGATTTTCAAAAATACCATGTCCATACCCTAAACCCGAAGCCCTGTAATCTAGATCCCAACTAAACCCTACACCCTACACCCTAAACCCTGTTTTTGTGGGCGAGATCACGAGCGAAGATGATGGCAACATCGTCAACTTCATGAATCCTATTGGTTTAAGGGTTCAGAGTCTAGGGTTTATGGTCTAGGGTTTTGGGTGCAGCCAGGGCTCAACACTGTTGCTATCATCTTTTTAGCAGGTTTTTCCGCTTTGCACTGTAAATGATGCAACGTGTTTGGAGTGTTGTAATTCTTGCTTGCTGGATCTTCGTCATTGCTAGGACTGTTTATAAATTTGAGGAAGTATAAACACATGAAATTGCCAGGGGACCAGCCTTCAGCACGTCATCACTCAGTCTCCATGTAGGGAGTCAGGGAATATATTATATAGGGATTATATGGGATTATATCTTCTTATGCCCTACTAGCCACCAGCAAGAAAACTCTGATTTTTGACAGCTGATGCTTCAACGCCCTTCTTACTGGAAAGTTTCTCATCCCTGACCCTGCTCCCATCATCTCCTTATAATTCCCCTATATCTCTCGGGTCCCAGACCGTGGACCCTCGTCCCTAAACCCCAATCTCTCCAAATCCTCAACCCCTAAACCACCTGCCCGACTGCAAGCACTTCTCAGGTGGCAAAAAAACAGTTAAGGACCCATTCCTTGCATCCTAAACCCTACATGCCCCAGCTGTATGTATCCCCACATATCCCCTTTTAGGCCACTACATGCGGCCCAAAGTATAGGCTCCTGCACAAACCCCTAAACCCTAAACCCTAAACCCTAAGCAGGTGTGGGGGCTGTTGGTCTCCTTGCAGCGGGAGACTTCGGCCTGTTGGCCCTGAGTGCGGAGGGCACGCAGGCAAGGTTTGAGTTCTTGTGTGTTCAGGGTTGACTTGATCTCAGGTTTAGCGATTAGGGTTTGGGGGTTTCAGACGCTTTATTTATTTTTTTTTGCTCTCCCCTTTCCGGTCTTCCCAACATGAGACAGTAGTCCGAAAAACTAAACCCTACGCCCTAAACAGTGTAGGGGTTCAATGCTAGCGCAGGGAAGGGTAGTTGCTTGAAGGGGGCTTTCTTCTGGAGCTGTTTGGGGATGTAGCGTGCTTGCAATTGTGTAAGTTTTTTGGGCAGTTTTAGGTAGTGCAGCTGAGACTTTTCCATTTCATGATCCATTATTGGCGTAACATATTTCTCAGCCCTGAACTATAATGTGGGTTATAAAATTGAGGCCATCTGGATTACTCAGACCCGCTGCGTTGGGCAGAAGGTGTTGTATAGGGGTTATATAGGGATCTTATAGGAGTTAATATATGTGGTATAAATATTTTGATACAGGGATCAAACAGGAGTATTTATGGGAACGGAAGACCAAACGGAAACTACTCTGGGCTTTGGGGTTTAGGAAACGACCCTACACTTGTATGGAAACTTCAGAGATTCCATGTTAAACCTTAAATCCTAAAACGGTATGATGTTGTGGCAATGGGTGAGGGTCTTTTTGCAGGGCAAGGTTGTTTGCACTCTGAGAATGCACGCTTTGCGGCAATCGACATGAGCAGTGTTAGTACGCTTCCCCATCCGTGTTCAGTTAACGAGGTGAATGTTGGTTCGGAGGGTGTTGAGGCTTCGGTTCCTGGTCTACTTCCTACGCTAGCTGAAGGTGATCCTGCTGGTGTTCCTGAGCCTGGAGTCCGTAACAACCTGTCCTGAATGTAATGTACGCTTCATCCGCAAGAGGTACTGAGGGGCTGCTGTTCGCTAGTTCTTTGTAGTCCGACTGGGCAACCAAGACCCCCAAGCTAATGCTTGACCTAAAAGGCCGTTGGGGTAAAAAAAAGGTATGGTTCGTTTAGTTGCAGGGAGACTTATGTGGGTGGTTGTCGAAATTATGGTCCCTTTTTTGGGTCCCTATTATAATACGGCACCTAGTACTTTACTTAGGGTACCCACAAAGGGACCACAATTTTGACAACCGCCCATGTGCATGTCAGGATGATTTCTGAATCAAATATGGGAGGTAAGGCCTTTAAACCTTGAACCCTGGACCCTAAAGCCCTAAAGCCCTAAAGCCAAACACCACACCCTAAACCTTAGAGCACTAAACCCTAAACCCTGAAGTCCTAAACACTAAGCCTGAAACCCAGCTTAGAGGCGAGGGTGTCAAAACTACAAATCGCTTTGCAATGGACAGCTTGCTCAGGAGTTTATTAAGAACCGCAGCCCAAACCCAACTACAACCCTAGGAGTTTAGGGTTTAGGGCTTTAGGGTTTAGGGATTATATATAACCCCTATATAAACCCTATATAAGCCCTATATCAAACCAATATAGACCCTATATAACTCCAATATAAATCCTCAAGCCTCCCTCCGTGTACATACACCACAAAAAACCTCAAACCCCTGATGGGCCGAGGTTTGGACTGCTGACGTGGGAAAGGCCCCTCAGCCAGCGGATGATACGGTGGATCCTAAAAATCCTGCATGACCCTAAGTACCCGACACCTTGGAATTATGGTATGATAGTATACCAGGGTCATGCAGGATTCTAATATCAACAGTAGTAGAGATGAACAGAAAAATGCAAGCTACTATTCTGTCTAGGGGTTTAAGGTTTTGGTGTCCAGGGTTGCTAGTTCGACATAATTACGTATTCCACCTACTTGATATTGATCGGCTCTCCATCCCCCACCCTTCATAACAGTAAAGTTTAGGGTTTAGAGTTTAGGGTTTAGGGTTTAGCCCAAGTACATGGGTAATATTGATGGGTTCACATGCGGAATCCATGGTTAAGGCCTCGCTTTGGAACACTGATGATTATATGAGGTAGAGTGTTATCATGGGTCTTCGGTTGATGTATAAGGTGTCTTAGTAATAATATTGGTGAGTGTACATTTGGTATCCAACTTGGGCAACCATAAGGTAAGCTCTCATCATGTATGGATATAGAGAGCTTTCGATGAGCCACCGTCACAGTTCAAATCCTCTGTACCTCATTTCGGGATTTGGCGCTGTGGGTGGCTGCTGAGTGTAGGGTTCCATCTATGCTGTGGCGTATTTGGAGTGCTAGCGTTCCAAATGGAGGCCTGGCTTCGACAGCTACTCGTGTGAGCCAGTGTCATACGGTCAATATTCGGCTCGATGACCAAGGAACCATTAAGATTTCATATAGAGGTCCCTTTTGTATCAGAACCCATGTCCAGTAAGCATATGGGAAATATTGACTAGCTCATGTCGGAAAATCCAGGAAGGATCTGGAGTAGAGGGCAAGAAAATATTGTTTTAGAGTATGTGCGGCGACCTGCGTTTTGGAGAACCTCTAGTATTGCTAGGTCTTTCAACACATGAAGTAGCCACATTCCGACACTCTTGCATCTTCACATGATACCAACTTCAGGGTAATCATGATCATAGCCGTTCTGAGAGCAATAGTGGTCCTGAAATGCAGCTAGAATCAAGATTTACGGGAGCAGCCCATGAGAATTTCCAAGGCTGGGCTCTTTGTTTTGGGAGCCCCCCATCGGGAGGAGCATAGTATTCTGGTTTAATGTTTAGGGTTTAGGGGCGGATCCTGTGTTTGGAAACTTTTGTGTTTCTCCACGATGAAATTGCAGGTGTGGTCTCGACAAAGCGAGTGCGAGCTGCTCTTTAAACATGTATCAGGTTAGAATACCCCAACCAAAAACCCCTAAACCCCTCAACTGCTTCAGCTTGAACGTGGTGTGTAGCGGTGGGTAGTCTTTGGGGTGGGAGAGTCACCTCTATCAAGCAAGTATTGCAGAAGAATAGCAGCAGAAACAGGCGTGCAAGAGACCTTGATGATGCGCTGGTGTTTGCTTGCTGTTTCTAGGGGCCTTCGAAATTAGAGCTACCCTTTTGGGATGCCTATAAGGATGATGGTATTTGTGGGTACATCTGACGGGTTCTTGGGAAGCCCCATGTGTACTCGCGTTAGAAGATCAAACTTGCTGCCTTAAACCCTCAACCCTACATCCAGGTCGAGACAATGTCTTCGGTGAGGGGTGGCAATGTGGCCGTGGTCATGTCCAACAAGACCGTGATTGCTGCGGACTTAGCTCGCGAAGAGTATGTAGTAACATGTTATGACATGACGTGCTTGCAATTTTTGCAATTCCTCTGGTGCCTCAGTCAAGAGAAATGTTTGGCTGAGGTATCATGTTGGGATCATTCCAACTCCATCCTCGGGTCCGGATGCATTTTTTGAAGGCGAAACTGTGACTCATTTGGCCTACCAGCCCTCTCGCAGAAGAAGCAAGGAGAAAGGGCCCGCGAAAAAGAACAGACATCCTGACCTAAACCCCAAACTGAAGCCGCTGCCTGTGATTCGGAGACGGAGGTCGTCGCAGTGTCCTCCGGCGCTGTGGTGGCCCAACGTGGCTTTGGATACAGCTACGTCACTGCCCCTTGGCGGCAGGAAGTGCATGCATGAGATGGCGGGCATTCCGTGCAATGTCCTTTTCATGTTTCGTGATACTTAAGATCGGGCACGGCAAGACTTTTTGAGTAGTAGTGTTGACAGGCTCTATGCACCTGTGTCGTGATCTGGTGATTTGCTTGAAGGCTGTCGAAATGTTCACAGATGGTCGAGTTGCTGTGGGAGCATACACCAACAACAGAGCTACCAATGCGGTCCAGTTCCTCGGATGCAATTACAATGCAAATCTCGCACCGGTTAGGATGCCCGAAGTAGTGCGTTCCCTAGGGAGATATCTGGTTTTTAAGGGTTGCCTCCATCTGCGGTATGCTCTGGGAGTTTCTCAAAACAATAACCCTTCGGTTCAGGGTTTAGGGTTTAGGGGTTATTTTGTTTTGCGCTCGGATGACCCAAAGAAATATTCTGCCATTACGCGCCGAAGGATTGCTCGCATGGAGATCTACAGCTCGGACCTCCAAGAGCGTCTGACACAGACTTGGGGAATGTCCGGGTGCTCAGGATCTGCGTCTGCGTTGTTGGTTTAGGGTGAACGTTTCTAGGTCTAGGAATTGGGACTGAAGTTGTTTAATTTTCCGGGGTTTTGGGCAAAGGATTTATGGGGTATCTGCAGCTAGACTAGCCCTTGTTGGCAATGTCCAGATCTTAGGGGGAGCACTGTCAGTTTGCGCATAAACAGCCTCTAGGCAGATTGTGACAGTGGGAACGGTAGTCAGCGTGCTCATCCGAATGATACAGTTACTGGCAACAAAGTTATGGTGATAACATAATCCCTGTAGTTTCCATTTCATTTCCCATTATCCCTATATACCCTATAGTCCCCATATCACCCGTATATAACCTTGATATTACCCCTGTATAATCCCTCTATCAACGTCCCAGATCACGCTCGAGTCACTCATACTGTTGCCAAGAATTGCGCTCAGGGGCAAATTTGTTGTGACAAGGATGGAGGCTTGTAATGCCGAGGGATATGTGCTCCAATGCACCAAGAGCAGGGGCTTTCATTTCAAGCAAGATGGGGGTTTTCATGATTGTGGACAGCAGCTGGGGGTTGTGACAACTGCTACCATGCTACTTATCCCAAGGGAAGATACAACTGCGGACACATTCTAGAGATGCTAGTCATCCACGCGGTTGAGGGTTTAAGGTGTAGGTTTGGGGTTTAGGGATCACTGCAGCTGAAATTGGACAATGGACTGACGCTGCCTCACGCTGCCAACCACTCTAGTCAAGGATAGTGGAAGAATTCGCAAGGATCCAGGATGTAGGGTTTAGGGTTTAGGGCCCAAGACCCTAAACCCTAAACCCTAACCCCTAGACCCTAACCCCTAAAGCAAAAACCTATGTAGTGATGGTACTGGGATGGCAGCTCGTTTCCTGCTGGCGGCAGCGTAAACGCTAGCATTCTCATCCCCGTAGCAGTACGGCCCCACCTCCGCCAGCAATATTCTGCTAACATTCAGAAGTATTCATTGTTAAGGAGTGCTTTTTTCTTCTTAGGGGGAGGTGATTAACTATGCCCTTGAACTATGGTCGAAAGCTATGCCAGTCCCACATGCTCCGCTCGCCAAACAGAGCCAAGTGAAAACGAGAAAGGTCTTGTGCGGAGAAATGTTGTCAAACATGGCGAGATGACTCACTAGCCTAAAGAAAGTCCCGAAAGGAACATCCCCAATTGCTGAGGTTTACCGCAAAACAGCTGGACGATGCTCACAACATGGCTGACACGAGGTGAGCTTGAACTAGGAATTCTTCTTCCTGGTGATGTTTGCAAACTGCTATGACTTCAGCAGCGACGGCCATGTTTTTAAGATACTGGTAGAATACTTTAGCCGTCGTGGTGCTACCAGTATCAATGCCCAGATTTTGTATGGGAGAGTTCGTGCTTGGCAGTGCTGCACCAACTGCCAAGAGATTTTGGTACGGGGTGTGCAGCTAGTGTCCAGGTTCTGGGTTTGCGTTTTCGGTGTGATCCACTTGTTCATGCTTTTGGGCCTTCAACTTAAGTTCAGGGATCTAAGATTTCCGTGCGCTGATGAGTTGCGGCTGCGCTAGTAGTTGGATGTCAGCCCGTCCAGGGATATCACGGATGGATCGCAAGTTGAAGATCCGCAAAGCAGTCACCGGCTCAGCTAGACGTTCGTTGTAGCATCCCGATAGTGTTGTTCTGCAATCCTCATATGACCTGGTTTGGGGGTTTCCCAAGACTAAGGATACCTTGTCCTGCAAGTTCAACAGCCAAACGTGCGGCCTGGAACCTTGAGCTACAATACCAGAAGCCTGACATCCTAGAATGGGCCATTGTTGGATGTAATCTTAAACCTGAACTGCCCCAAAGCACAAGAAGGAAGGTGCACCTGCAGCAAATACATTCCACAAGGCAGCGAGTCGACCATTCCCTTGCCCCAGACACAATCCACAGACGAACCCCCCCCTGAAGGGTTTAGGATTTAGGGTTTAGGGTTTAGGGCCAAGCGACGGCAGGGTGTATGGACTGGTCATTGACGACCTCGAGGTGCAAAACGTCTGTGAAGCCTTGCTATCTAAGTCCATCGAAAAAGTCTGCGGTTGTAATATTCATTTACGGAATGAACAGCAAGGGCCTGTATGTGAATTGTACTGTGCTCCTGCCTGCAAAGTCGAGTAGTTGGGAAACTTATCCGCTTGTGACACAATTTATCCGCTTGTGACACAATTTGTCTCATGTGATTAAGGGATCCTTACGCAAAATCCGGAAAATACACCTTTGATATAAAGGAAGGCTTCATGCATCCCAACCTACAGTGGCGCAGACCAACCTATTCACTGTTCTTGCGATAGTTTGGATTGAGCCTTCATACCTAAACCCCCCAAGAGTTTTGTTAGCTTAGTACTTAGTACCAAAAGATTGTCCAGAATGGTTGCCATCCTTGAATCCCCTAGCCAGGAAAAGCTAGCGCTTTTCAGTCTGGCGTTGAGCTTGGGGTGTATCAGGAGCACGTCTACGTGGCTGGGGAGTCTGCAGGGGGCAACACGATCTTCCGTTGGAATGGCCAGGCCACTCCGGAAAGGGCTGTGTGGTAGGTTTGGGTGTATATGTATAATATATATATATATACACACATAAACACATATGTTCTTAAGTTGATGTACTGTACATAGCATGTGTGCATGCATATATATATATATATGCATATAGGACCTACATTGTATTTGACGCTATATTGTGACATATTTCATTCTATGTAAATTATGTTAGTCAAATATGATATTATGCTTTCAATCGGCATTCTACGCAAAGCCTCCCGGCGTACTCCTCAGTCTTAAGCCTCAAATCCTCGACTCCCATGTTTAGGATGTCCTTATGGGGGGCGGTCCAAGGGGGTAGCTAAGCTTCCCTAAGGTTCCCCAAGGCTCCCTTGTACCCTCCGCCCTTGAACCACCCCCCCTTTAGGATCCTATAACATGTGCTGCGGTTTGCAGGGTGCCTGTGCTTGTAATTTTCTTTCAAGGCTGTAGTACGCTTGGCAGAAGCTTCGCAGGACCTTGCTACGAACACCGCCCGGGACACTGGAACCCCAATGTGGATGGCCAAATCAGATGCTCATGTGGGCTGGGCGCCCAGTACAGGTCTCAACTACTTATCCTGCGAGAGTGCAAGCTTGAAAGCTTGACTTAGAGCAAATCTTGGAAACCACAAGCCTCACATCTCGTACCTTCACCTGATACAATCTCTAGATAAGCCTACATAAAGTAGTTTTCATTTCATGTTCCATTTGATTTTTTCCTTGTGCTTCTACGTTATTGGGGTAATACATCCCCATATCTCGCTAACCTATATAATCCCTATGCTACCCGATTCAGCCTTCTATCGATGACGGAAGCCCAGAAGGCCAGCAGAATCCAAGTTCGACCCGACCATGGTGGGACATGTTCTGGGTTGCTGCTGAGGAACTTCTATTCAATGTTTACGGTTTAGGGAGATTCTATTCAGTGACCAAGATCTAGATATGTAGCAATTAGAGGGGGGGGGTCTAGGGTTTAGGATGAAGTTGCCGTAGTATGGATACGGAATAAACATTCGTTTTTTTTCTCTCAAAATTAGGCTACCATGTTGGGGGTCTGCTTATTGAGGATAATTGCGTTTTTTGGGTGTATATTGGTTCCCCCAACTTAGGGAAACTACCATGTAGGGATGTAGTCATAACAGGGCAGGGGTTAATGGGGGGATTAGCCTGAAGTTCAGATAACATAGTCAGGTAGTAGTAACGGGGTTATATATATGGGGGTGTAGGTATATATACATATGTATAAGTTTCTGTATACAGAGTACATGACAACAGGGCTTACGCGGTTTATGGTGAAGTTACCACAAAGGAGCTTAAGCGTGAATACCGGGCTTCCCGTATAATGGCAACTTCCTTAGCAGCCCCTGCCTTAAACCCCAAATCCCAATACACCCTAAACCCTTAACCCCAAACCCCAGACCCAAAACCCCAAACCCAACAGGAGCTGCAAAAAACATAAAAAAAATCCAAACTCCAAACCCTTAACCCCAAANNCCCAAACCCTAAACCCTGCGCTCAGAGGCTATGTGGGCCGCGTCCGAGCCAAAGACGGCCATGTGTTGGGAGGCCACGGCCTTCTGCATTCTTCTGACTAGGGTCTAGGGTTCAGGATTTAG